TTAACATTAAAAATTATACAAAAGGAAACTTCCGTGTTCATTTAGTTTCTCCCGAATCCTGATGGATTGGGGAGATGCTATTTTACTCGGGGTCCTCGCCAGCAGCTTTCAGGACTGGTGACGTGTGGCTGCCGTTTTGTTGGGGGCTCCAGGGGTGGTGGGGAGCTGGGCCGAGGTGCGGAGGCAGGCTCTGGCTCAGGTCGTGCCGTCCCAGAGGCAGCGCCGGGGGCTCCGAGCCTGTGGTGCCAGTGGGCTCGGGCTCCCCAGCAGCACCCAACGGCTTGTGCCCAACACTTTGATCAACCTTACCCACTTCTAAGCTCATATAAGCCAATTTAAGAGTGTTTACGTAAGACTCTTCCCATTTAAATCACTTTAGAAATACTTTTGCTTCAGCTGATATGATTATCACATGTAGACCTAACCCCTAATTTCTTTCCTTCTTTAGACTGTATATTAAATCAGATCATTAAATTCACTGTGTCAAGATTGTTTCGGTTTTTAAATCTCAGATATAAAGAAGTCAAACCAATAGACTATGTGTATCTGTCAGATCTCCTCATGTCAACAGCCTGGATAAGCACGAACAGCTCAGAAACGAGTACCTGAGAGCAGTTTGGTAGTTAATGATGAACGCCATTCCAAGAAATGCACAGCATAAAAATATACACACGGGGCTGATTTCCAGAGGCAGCCAGGGAGGTTAATAACTAAGCCATTGCTGGCAGTGAAAGAAACAGGTGAAAATGAGTAGTTCTCAGATTTCAGCAGCCTTTAAGAAGGGCCTGTGTTTTGCACAGCTGAGCAAGATGGCAGCACCATGGCGCTGGAGAGGACGAAAGCAGTGAGCTCCATCTCTTGTGTTGTGCGGAGTGATGTCACCATCTGAAGTGACGTAGGCACATTCTCCCACGGCAGTCCTGAGACCGCCCTCCGGCTGCACCGTATCTTACACTGTATGCATTATAAAGTTGGTACAGATGACTTTGATTTATATCGATAAGAAACCAAAGACATTATCCATTTTTAAACTAATTTAAGTTTATAATCAATTTGGGATTACAAACAGTTTTTATGTAATGCCTAAAATAATTGTTCCTCACAACTGTTGCAAGCTGACACATCAGTACAAAACCACATGCTTCAAACTAAACACAAAGTTGAAGTTGTCTGAGCAGCAAGCGTGACTTCGTAACTATGTAAAATGTTGCCTTCTTTAGTCCATGGAGGAGGTGGGTCGCTGTCTCCGATTTAAAAGCAACTAATCAATACATGATTGTTCTATTGACGTGCAAGTAAACAAAATTAAAGCGGGTTCCAACCTGAAAGACGATTGCAGTTTAACAAATCGATAAGCTTTTAAAGTTTTCATCCAATACAAGTTACAATTTTTTTGTGATCACAGCAGAGTGCTTTTCTGGCCACAACCAAAAACCTTTTACCATAAAGATTTATATGAAAATAAATGCATTCATCCAATTACTAATGAAAGATCCCAGAGGTAAGCTGTCACAGCTGTATCGTGTTATCTACTAGCACAGAAGAAGATTAACTTGACTCTGTTTTATACCTGCCTCAAAGCAGAAAAGGCTTCTGGTAAATCGATTTCCTGAAGGGAAGATCAGCCAGCAGAAAACAGGACAAAGAGGAAGGGAGCGTCAGAGATGCGTTGTGCGGTGGGGACGTTTCAGTGCTGGGTGGCAGTGGAAGCACAAAGCTGTTCGCAAAGGTACGGCAGAGCCCTGGCAAGCAGCACGGCAGCTGACATCTACACGACACGCTGCACCTTCGGCTGCTGGCCTTCGAAGGACTTGCAAATTGTTCTAATCTTCCTTTTTGGGGGCTAGGACTGAAGAAAGGGGCTGTCGCTTCTTTTTGTCAAGGTCTGGAGCTTTTCTGAGCTTGTTCACGCCCTCCTTGACTTGACTGGATGACCGGTCTCTCTTGCCTCTTCTCTTCCCCCGTGGCACACGAGCAGGGCAGGGTGGTGACAGGAAGCATCACGCCCCACCGACAGTCCAGCAATCATCAGGCAAAGGCAAGTCCATAAACCAGGTCAGAAAATCCAGATAATCCAGGAGCAGGGCTGGGAGCAGGCACAGCACCTGCGGCACCGCTCCGAACAGGAGCAAAGGCCCAGGGATGGGCTTCACCCAGGCTCTGGGGCCGCAGGCAGGGGGTGGGTGGGACGGGGCCCAGGGGCGGCTGCTCAGGGTGAGGGGCCCACTAGTGCCCTGGCAGGGTCTCTGAAGAGTTTATCCCAGCTCTTGAGCACAGACAGCACATTTTAGGTGCTTATGTGTATTTATTATAACTACCCATGTAATTACGCCTGCTATACCTGTAATTACCCCTACAGCAGTAAATTTTTTCCCATTAATTTAAGATGACCAAAGTCAGAGCAGACTGTGACCCATGGTTTGCAGTATAAATTGTGTTTCAAAGTCAGAGAAGTGTTGACAGAAAAAATTCCTGAAAATTTAATTTTAACACTTCAGTGTTTGCTACCCAAGTGATACCTTTTCCTGCCATTTATGACTTTTTGTCTCTTTATGTAATTATTTTTTTAAATTCAAGCCCCTTATCTGTGCTGTTTAGGGTAATGAATACTGTAAAATCATAAATGGACATCCAGGGGTTAAACATAGCGAACTTTCCCTGCTGTTCCCTTGTTGGGAAATAACTTTGCAACATTGTAACTGTGCTGCTACTTTTGTTTCAAAATAAAATCAATTTCCCCTCCTGTAAGGTGGAGAAAGTGATTTTATTTTGAAACAGACGGGGTTTGACGGACACCCTCGCAGGGGTGCAGCCACAAGCACCCAGCCATCCCCCCCAGCCTGCCCAGCGTGCGGGACACGTGTCCGTCCCGGTGCTCTGGCCAGGGCTCCTTGCGGCGCTGCAGAGGACGAGGCAGTACCGTCAAGTCTGGGTGGAAATATTAAACATAGTTTTATTATGAATGAACAAACTCCTACTTTAGAAGAGTTGCCCCACAAGCCACACATTCTCCTTCCAGAGTATTGCTGGACATCCCTTAACGAAATCTCTGTGCGTTAACGGTGGCAGGTAGAGCATTGCTCCAAGTTCCCTTTTATACCTCACCCTTTCGCTTCACCCAGCACGCCGGGGCAGCTGAAGAATCTAATGACCTGTAGGCAATTTCAATACACTGGACACCAGCTAGATATTTCCACCACGCCAGAAAAACAGTGGGCTTGAAACTACGATGCCTTGTCTTTCTTACCTTCCCATACAGTTGCCCGATTATAAAGCGCATCCTGCAGAGGGGAAAAGGTGGGGTCAGCTCCTCTCTTCTTCCCAGGGGAACAGGGGAGCGACTTCATCAGGAAACCCTAACAGAGCTCTATGTTTTCCCAAATTCCTCCTAGAGAAGAGCCTGTCGCTGCTGAAAACCGATAGCAGAGGAAGTGATATTCGTGCTGCCCAAACAGGCAACAGCCCATGGCAAATACACTGCTTCACATAGGATATGCACGGCACCAGAAGACAAAATACTTGTCGGCACTTTTTGTGCTCGTAGGAGACATTGTCAGAGCACATTTCCACCTGCGATGAGTATCATGGAGTTCCTGCTGGTTCCTAGAGCGGAGGAAAGCGCTACTCAGGCCCGTTGACTGGGGGATGTCCCGTGGCTGTAAATCTCCCCCACGCAGATTTTCTTTGGTGGGAGAAGACTGAAAAGGTGGCTGTGTCAGGGGGATTGCAGTTGCTTTGGTGACCCCCTCCTCCCTCCTGAGCCAGTCAGTGCATACTCGTGTCAATACAGCGTTGAGCTTCCTGCTCCTTGAACGCTGCCGCCGTCCCTGAGGCACGCAGGTGCAGCATTCACGTGGCGAAGACTAACACATTCCTGGAATGATGAACTTGATCTTTTCCGTGTTCAAGGCTGCCTGGATTGCCTTTTCAGGGCGAGGTGCAAAGGGAGGATTGCTGGTCAGCAGAGAGCAGCAGAGAGCTACGGGATGAGCACCAAACCCGCTAGCCCCGAGGGGGCCTCCAGCTTTCAGCGCCGTGTCTGTGCCCGTCTACCCGGCCTAGCACAAAACAAATAAACGCAGAAACATAAGGAGCTTGCTTCTTGAACAGTTATTCAATTAAAAAATGTATTTTATTCTGCCAAGGACAAATTTGCCCTCAGTTCCTTAGCAGAACAACATTGATTTTTAATCATGCACATTAAAGACAAATTCCTCAGCAGGTTTCCTGTGGTCAGGCATAACAAGATAATTTAGGCCTTGGCATGCTTGGAAAGGCTGATCTCTGAAGGGGCTGTACGCATGCCATGTCCCGCCTCTCACTGCTGCCTGCCTGCCTGCCTGCCTGCCTGCCGGGGAGGCGCGTGGCGGTACAGCAGCCCTCCAGCTGTGCCCAGATGTGCAGCTGCCAGGACAGGGCTCTGCAGCTCTGCCCGTGTGCACAGCACAGGGCTGGTGGGCTCGTCCGGAGAGCTGCCCTGGGGCTGCGCTAAGGAAGAAGCGCAGAGAGGGTCTGGCTTAAGGCTCCGTGCCAGCCCCAGGAGGCCTGGGACCCAGGCGTGGAAAAAGGGTGTGCTAAGGGTGGACGAAAAGCGGGACAACTGACCCTGAACGTGCCTTCGCTGGCCAAACCCTTGCTCCGCTTTGTCCGATAATCCCCTGGCTGTACTGAGTGCAATGCACATATTAATAAAATCCTGACCTTGTCTTTGGGAAGGCTGTAGGTTAACACTGCTTGCTATTATTACTTACTCATTGAAGTATTACTTACTCATTGAAGCTATTATTATTACTCATTGAAAATGTACCAGATCTATTTTACTTGCCTTTCGTGATTGCCTACTGCAGAAAGGCACAAATGAAAACAACTTCAACCTAGAGAAAATGCCTGCGTCCTCTAATTAAGTGAACAACACTTTACCTATCCTCTGGCTAAATAAAATAAAATTGTACCTATTTGTCTTTACAAATTCCCAGCAGTAAATCACTATCTACTGCCAAATGGCAACACTAGTATTTACTAAGTGGTTTCCCCTTTGGAGAGCCCTCGCTGCCTGCTCGGATGGCGTTGCAGCCTTAGCCGACACCAAAACGGAGAGGGAATTCAGCGTTACCTATGGCCGGGCCCTGCGCCGTCGGCTTGGCAGCCGTCTCAGGCTGGTCTCGAGGCCAGCACTCGTGCTTTCGCAATCGGATACGGTTTCCCTGGAAATCCAAGTACGTTTTCTGTTTGCTCTGGGTAACCGTGTGTAAGAAGCGCCGTATTTAGTTACCAGAGGCAGGTGGGAGGCGCGCCGCGGGGCACGGGTGGGTATGGGGGTAGGGGTCGTGTCCGGCGCCGAGCGGGCACGGGGCGGGAAACCGAGGAAT